AAGTAGCATGTTTCAAAAAATTATAAAAAATATTTATAAATTTGCTGAGCTACAGAATGCTAATGGCAAAGACAGTTTATAATTGCTTACTTCTTAGTTTTCACTAAAAATTAAGGTCTGTAAGGGTTAAAAATTCTAATTCATATGTGTGATTAGAGCTACTAAAAATAAGGAAGACATCTTTGTATTCAAGGAAAGTAAGATGTACGTTTTCAGTAAAGGAGGTATAAAGAATGGAAATACTATTGTTTTGTTAAGAAAGAGAAATTTGTCCTAAAGTACTAGGAGGGAAGAAAGAAGGCATGGGACAAATTCTGAATGAAAAAAGAAAGTTGTAGAGATTTGTAAAAAAACCAAACAAACAAAAAAGCAAAACACTAAGAATTTTGTGCATGGTCAAGTTGGCTAAGATTAAAATAAATTTAATTAAGTGAATAAGTTTTAATATCAAAAGTAAGCTGGTACAAAAAATTAGAATTTGGTTTTCTCTCTCTTAAAGGGATAGTTTTCTTGAACTTTTAGTCTGATCCTGATAAGAGATTATAAAAGATTTTCTTTACTTTTGAGTGAGCCTCATTTTGGTTAAATGTCTTAAAAGCATTGTTTCATAGTGACCATTGTTTCACAGTGACACTTGATCTTGTTTGACCAAGCGTTTTAAAACCTTTTGATATTTTTGACAAGGTCCCCAAAATTCATATCCTAAATGAAATCTTTCTTTTTACTTTTTTCTTTGAGAATTTTCAGAGAGCTCCTGGGACTTCTCAAAATAATCTGTTCTCTTCCTATAAAGAGGGAGATACTAAACTAATTAGGCTTATTTGATATGCTGGATTGCATGGGAAGCATTGTCAAATAAATGATGCTAAGTCTTCTTAAGTTTTATTGTGTAGGTAAATATTATACGCTATCTTAACCCTGCTACATTGCTTCCAGCACCACAGGAGGAAAGGACAGTGAGTGCATTCTGTTATCTAATTTGGTTTACAGATAGGTCTTACTTAAATGATAAGCAAGGACATTGTCAAGCTGGATATGCTATCCAGCCTCGAGAATACCTGCTACTTTATATTAACTCTGCTAACCCAGTAAAAGATTTCCTTCTATAGGCTCAAAAAATCACCATGGAAGAGAAACAAAGGTGGCATCAAAAGGAAGAATTTTTGACACCACCACGCAGATGTGGTTCAGGCCCTGCTAACAAACCATAGTGCCTGTTGCAGCACAATTGCCACTGCTCCAGCCTATACACCAGTTAACCCATTGGGCACCTGAAAAGACGATTTTATGGGGGAAAAGAAAGTGTTCTCCCATAGTGGCTCATAAAGCCTATACTTGTTGTGCTCTATGCCCAAAATATAATGTAGGGAAACTATTTCATGGGTCACAAGGCCACTTTCCCCTTCCTAAGGGACCCTTTGAGATATGGCAATTGGACTTTGTTCAAATGCCACCATCTCAAGAATAAATTTATCTTGTAATGATCTGTATGTTCTCATTTTTGGTTAAGACTTTTTCTTGCAGAAGAGCAATGGCTTTAGGTTAATTATTATTGGAAAGAATAATTCCTGTTTGAGGAATTCCTATTGAGTTACACAGTGACCAGGGAACTCATTTCATCAAACAAATAATTAAAACTATTTGTGACATTTGGCCAATAATGCAACATTTTAACTAACGGCACAATCAAAACTCAATTGGCAAAGCTTTCAGAGCATTTAATCTCTCATGGCCAAAAGCTCTTCCGCTAGTGTTCCTCAATCTTAGAGCTACACCTTTGGTAAGCATCAGCTGTCCTCTTTCGAGATAACAACTGGACGACCTATGCAATTAGACAAAGAAATGTATGAACCAATTTTGCTTAAAGGAGATATCTTACATTATTGTTAAAGTCTCATTGAGACACTTGAAAGAAATGAGAGGTTGGTAGCTGATTCTTTTCACAGTGAGCTCCTGGGAGATGAAGACCTTAAGGATCATGGACTTCAACCTGGAGATTTTGTTTATTGGAAAAGGTAACAGACGACAGACTCTTTGCAGCCCTGTTGGAAAGGACCATACCAGGATGAGAAGAAGACGGCATCCATTGTAGACAGCTGTCCCAAGATTCCAGACCAGGCCTGTGTTCCCAACCTTATATCTCCTTATTTAAACCTTTGTAATGCTTAAACCACTTACCTGTTTTATAATTGTTCCATTTAAGGTTTAAGAATACTATCATACTTAAAGAAAGTCATTGATTTAGAACAGACTGGTCTCCAAGGGCAGGCATTTATTGGGTGGCTCCTAATGGAACTCGGTGGTCATGTGGAACAAATCTCTGGCCTTGGCTACTGCCTGGATGGCTAAAAGACTGCACCCTGAGCTTCCCTTGGATGCAGGGAAGGATTCACACTGAGCTAACAGCTGTTGCCAGCCTTCTTCTCTTTAAGCCCAGATGGGCTCATTTAGTGTTCCACTCATATGGCCATGGAGCAGCTATATTCGTTCCTTCTTTGGGGCTAGAAGATGTCACATCACATATAGAAGCTCTGACTAAATTTACTCTATAAGCCCTTAATGATATTCAAGCAGGAATAGCCTTAGTAAATACTGAAATGTCTTTAAATGAGAAAGGCTGTCCTTCAAATTACAATAGCTTTAGATATTCTGTCAGCATCCCAAGGTGGTATATATACAGTCATTCAAACTGAATGCTGTGTTTTTATACCTGATGAATCTTCTACTGTATCATCTCTGCTAAAGCACATGAAAAATAGGTGAATGTCTTAAACTCAGTCTTTTATAATTGTAAACAACGCAAGCATGTGAGTCATGTAAAAACACATGTACAATGTTTGTGGAACAATCTAAAATTAATTGAAAAATATATAACCTATGAAAAGCTTTCTCTGTTAATATATACCTCTTTGCTTGTCTGACTATTTCTCCCCAATGTAGATAACTGGGCAAATCAATGAGATAAAAGCCTGGCACAGAGGGACATGATGGACCCAAGGCAGGCAACAACCATCCTGGTGCTGAGGGACAATTTGTTTGTTTGTTTGTTTGTTTTTTGGTGAAGAAGATTAGCCCTGAGCAAATATCTGTTGCCAGTCCTCCTCTTTTTACTGAGGATGATTGTCCCTGGGCTAACATCCGTGGCCATCTTCCTCTACTTTATATGTGGGACGCCTGCCACAACATGGCTTGATAAGCAGTGCGTTGGTCTGCGCCCAAGATCCGAACCTGCAAACCTGGGCTACCTAAGCAGAGTGTGCGAATTAACCACTATGCCACTGTGCCAGCCCCTGAGGGACAATATTTTGATCATCAATGCTTTATATTGAAAGATTATAGATCGAAAATGGAGAAATGATAAATAAATGGAAAGCAATAGGATATATTGGAGTATATGAGGAAGCCATTAGGTGTAAAACTAATTCAGCCTGACCTTGTTTGTCTAAAAGGGCCTGATGTGGCCTGTTGAGCATGCAATGTATGTCTGCTTTAAACATTTAAAATGCCCCAAAGATAAGAGTGATGCCCCTAAACACAGGGATGTAGCTTCCCCATATTGGCAATTCCTTTAGGATAAGCATCTCTCCCTGAAAACTAAGGATTAATTGCTGACCTGCTGTGCTCACCTGGTGACCACCGACCTGTTGTGCCAGCTGAGCATCTCGTGACAGTAGTAAAAGATATTCCTGTCGTATGTGATGTATGCTCTTTGTTCCAAGATGGTATATAACCACTCTGTACAACCCCACTTCACTGGCGCCCTTCCTTCTTTGGGGAAGGAAGGCCTCAGGGTATAGTCCTCAACTTGGCTCGTAACAACTTCACCCCAATTTTGTTTTGTAGATTGATTATGGATTATTTGCGTCATTTCTAAAGGCCGCTCTCTTTTACTACGTTCAGATTCTCAGCCTGTAATTTGCAAACTGTATTTAATCTTTACAATTTCCTGTGTGACCACTACTAAAGTTGTCTCAGGTTTTTAGAAGATGACATGAAAATCTGGTATTTAAATTCAGGATTCATGGATTTTGTCAGAAAATGGAACCTTTTCAGAAAGTGCTGACTCCCAGTCCCTCCTCTTCACCAGCTCTGAGGACTTGCTTCTGCCTTTAGTGTCTGTCTGCCCTGCTTCCCGGAGGGCACTCACCATCCCTGTCTTCATTTCCCTGAATCCACGTTGCCAAGCACATGTCTGTCACATGTGTGCAGTCGGCACCTTTTTGGTGACAGAATGAAGAGAACTGCATGAATTAACCCTTGTGTTCTGGTTTTATGCCACTATTGTCTGTAGACTATATCAGAGCACACGTGCCATAGCTCCTGAAAAGAAATGTGGAAGGATTCAAATCAAATGTATTAGCCCCTCAAAAGGGAAATGCAGAGGGGTGAGGCCAGTTGTATTTCAGTGCAATTTAAAAAGTGTAAAAATGGCATCCAAGATCAAAGCTCTAAGTCCTCTCCTTATTAGAATTAAAAAGGAGAGTTAGGGGCCATCCTTGTGGCCTAGTGGTTAAGTTCAGCGCACTCTGCTTTGGCAGTCTGGGTTGGGTTTCTGGGTGCAGAACTACAAAACTCATTGGCGGCCATGCTGTGGTGGTAACCCACATACAAAATAGAGGAAGATTGGCATAGATGTTGGGCCCAGGCAAACCTTTCTCAGCAGAAAAAAAAAAAAAAATGAGAGCTATATTGAGACTCAGGCTTTTACTTCAACATTGGGTCTCATTTAGATGGATACATCCTATTGGATTGAGACTTCTGTCATTTTCTATGAATATGCTTAATTTCCAGTATAATAATACAAAAGAAGTGTTAAAGTCATGACCTTATCTGAGGCCCATAAAAGAAGAAGAGAGTGGGAACCGAATTGGGATAAGTACTGAAAATGGCAATTCTAGCCTGTTTAAGGATCTCATTTGCAAGAAGACACTCAGAGTAGCTGGATAAAGGCTCGCACAGCCAGACATCTGCATCACAAGGGCCGGCCACCCTCTTCGCCGATGACACCGAGGATGATGTTGTCCAGCTCTGTCTGCACCCGTAGCTGTGACCTGGCCCAGAACCATGGCCTGCCAAAGCAGGAGGCCTGCACTGTTCTGGACCAATGGGGAGAGTCTCCCTTCTTTTCCAGCCTGAAGGACAAGAAATGTTTTCAGGTTCCCCCAGAAGCAGCTGGATGGCAGCCAGTTCCAAAAGCTCAGGCCACCTCTTTGTCCCTGAGACGATCCAGCAGACCTTCAGCCTCCTCAGCACTAACAGCTGCAGGTCCTCACTGGACTGGATCAGCAGGTGGAAGATCTGGAGACCAGTTTGTGCGGGAGATGGGGGAGGAAAAGAGCCTCCTGGGCAGTGAGGGCTCCAGCCTGGCTGTGAAGAGATATTTCCCAAGAACCAGTCTCCATCTGAGGAAGAAAGAATACAGCTGCGGTGCCCAGACGTTGTCAGACTGGAAGTTAAGAAGCGAAAGTCAGTCAGTGCTCCCTCTGTGTCCTCAAGTCTCAGAAAACCCGGGTAGTTGGAAAGGAGACTTAGACCCAGTCTTCCACAGTTGAGTCTTACCTACTTGTAAATGGCCTCAAGCTTGTAAATATTTACTCAATTCAAAGACGTTTTTTCTGCTTCAGTTATAAAATGCGTTGTCACTTTTCCAGATTATTTTTTAATAACAAGAGGAAACTGTACTTTCGAATCAAGAGAAACTGTGTTTTTAATTTGTAATAATTAGAATTTATCTATTTCTCTATGATGATTGTTGTATTTAGAAAATTTATTCTTCATGTTATGTGGTTCGCTTTGTCTTCTATTTTCACTTGCTTTGGGAGTGTAAAATCTATATTTTAAATGTTGGGTCTTACTCATACTCTTAAAGAGATAAAAAGTGCCCTTACATGTTCAGTCTGCCTTCAAATCCAAAAGGACCATAAATATTTTTATTCATTTCATTGATTCATAAAATATTTTTAAGTATCTCTGCTCCAAGTAATTCACTTGTGTTTGTGAATAAAACAAAGATATTGCTTTCTTTAATGGAGTTTTCTGGCAGAGAGGACAGGCGGAGCCATTGACAGGGAAGTCATTAGTAGGAACCCTCTCTAGGGCTCTGGAGGAGATGCGCAAGACACTCTGACAGATTGTAGCAGCTGGAGCTATTCAGTTGTACTTATGCTTTCTTGGAGAAATCATGTCTAATGGTTGTTGACTCCATTTCAGCAAGTGCATGAACAAGAATCTAAAGTGAAATATGTTATACATTCATGGAATTTAAACTTCAACAAATAAGTTGTGAATATACTTTCTATTTTTTGGCACTGTGGGGGGTGCCAGATGCAATGAAAATGCGTGATGCTTCAAGTTTGGACATGGTAAGTGGAGGTGTTCTAGGGTAGCAGGTAGAAATATGGGTCTCACGTTTGGAGACGGGATTATGGGTAAAGACATATGTATATAAGTCATAATCATAGAGATGAAATTTGGAACTATTTGGGAGGTTGAGACTGCATGTACAGAGAAGATAAACTGTGGTGCCTAGCACAGAATTTTCAGAAACACCAAAATTCCCTAAGATGAGATGAGAGGGAGCAGTCAACAAAGGAGAGAGAGGAGGAGGAGGAGCAGAAAAGCAGAAGATGGTGGTGACACAGAAGCCAGATGAAGGTCCGACTCTAAAAGGAGGATGTGGTCCAGAGTCAGATGCTTCTGAGGTATCGGCTAAGGCTGACTGACGGTGACCTCTGAGCTCAGTAAGACGGAGTGTGTTGTCAACCTTGGCTGAGCTGTTTCAGGAGAACAGGGAGGCTGAAGCCACAGGACAGCAAGAGCAGAAATGAGCTGCAGGTGAAGAAGTAGGGACCGATAGTGCAGAGAATGTTCAAGAAGTTTTGAGTATGAACAGAATGACAGGAGCAAGGTAATACAGGTAACGGTTGTAGGGCTGAGGACTGAACGATCATATTTAGGATGAAGAAGATAAAAATTAAGCACCTTTAATGTTGATCCAAACTAGCCAGTAAAAAGGTAGATGTTGGTATGGGAGAGCGGAGGTAACTGACAAAGCATCAATATCTTTTCTGTACTTTGCATCAAGGAACTCTCTCCCCAAAGCTAAGCCTTCTGGAATTGTCCATCTGTTTGGTGTCACAGAGGTTTTGCACCCTGGAGCAGTGCAACATGGTGAGGCTTGGGATTCGTAAAAGGGACTTTCTTTTATAAAATAATGATAAAAAGTCTCAATTGTCTGTGAGAACAGAAGTGGATATGGAGCTAGGCCAAGCTTCTGTCTCCTCACGCAGATCAGTTTTAGGCAAGGGTGTTTCTCAGTGTTGAGGATGTTAAAAATCTACACCATGAAAAATTTACATAAACTTTGAACACTTTTTAGAAAATATTAAAATGGATTGTCTTCTGAATAATTAACAAATACAACAGTTTGGCATGGGAAAAACAGAATTTTCCTAGTCCTGTCAATAAGAACTTTTGCATAATTGGTGGCTAGTATTTAATATCAGTACCATGAATTAGTAAAATCAGACAACAAATTGAGAGAGGCTTTTTCTTTGATACCTATCACAATCACATATTAAGTCTTTATATGACTAAACATTTATAATAATTTTAAACGTGTACAGAAATATATTGTACTAAGAAGCAGATCTTCAGATCAACATATTACAAAGCGTAAACTCAAAACATGTTTACACATTGAATGAGTCTGGATTCACCAGTAGATCCTTTCCTCAGCCCCTGTCTGATAGATATTACACACCCACTTTTGCATTCAAGTAAATGTGAGTTTCCTAAGAAACCAGGCAGAATGGCTTACTGCCTTAAGAATATTTTTCCCTTAGCAGATTAAATTTAAAAGAAATAATATCCTCTTTCTGGCCTATTTAAGGATAATAGGAAAATAAATGAAAATAATTTAGGCCCTGGAATCAAGTAGGGCCTTGACTTTTCTTCATTAACAAGTTGACAGGAAAATTCAGGAATTAAGGAAAAATACTTTGACTCTCAAGATACGGACACTCACTGACTTTCACTGGTACATGAAGACCAGCAAATGACTGATTTCACTGCCCCCATCTGACTAGTTACTCACTAAAGGAATGGTTGATGCAAATATTTAGACCAGGCCATGGGTAGGAACAGTTGGTTAAATGGCCCCTGAGATTTTTTCAAAAACTAAAGAATACAAATTATTTTAGAAATGTATTTGGCATTATCCCCTGGGAGAACTGAACACCAGTGTATTCTTTCTTGTAGCCTCATCCTCCTTGCTGGTCCCTTCTCTTGTTAATACTCATTTGCCTTTTCCATGGGGCCGTCATTCCTCTTCTCTCTCTCAGCATCTATGCTCTTTACCAGTGAGCACAGATATCAGGTTTTCTCTTAAAGAAAGGGGTTAAGAATAATTATACATGACAATTTCATGTCTGTCATGTATGATTTGAACTTGAAATACTCAGGCACTATTTGAAGCAGTGTATCATAGGTACTGTATGAATGATGCCATGTGTCTTAGTTCAGGCTGCTGTAACTAAGTACTATGGACTGGGTGGCTTATAAACAACAGGAATTTATTTGTCACAGTTCTGGAGGCTGGAAGTCTAAGATCAGGATGCCAGCATGGTTGAGCTTGCTTCTAGGTTGCAGGCTGCCAACTTCTCTTTGTATCCTCACATGGTGGAGATCTGAGGGACTCTCATATAGGCCTTCATCCCACTCATGAAGCTCCACTCTCATAACTTCGTCTAATCCCAATTACCTTCCAAAGACCCCACCTCCTGATTTCATCCTATTGGGGGGTATAGGGTTTCATCACATGAATTTTGGGTGCATGCAAACATTCAGTCCATAATACCGTGATAAGAAGATCCCATGGTATTGTGGTTATGGCAAGGTTTGTTAGAGTATTTTCCATTCTCTACATTTATTTGAGGATAAATAACACATTCCTTGATGCTGCCTTCATTTTCTTATGGTACATTAATCCTGAATTGATTACTGATTAAATGTTACAATGTTACTCTGATCATGATCATCAAGGACCTAACGAGACAAATTCCACAGACTTCTTTCAGTCATTATCAAAAATGCTGCTGCTGCTGATGGCATCTTCAAATTACTTTGCCTTTTCTAAGGGACTCATTTAATCCTTCCAACATAGTTGAGACTGAGGTGTTAATATTCTCCTTTCCAAAGAGCCACCTGCTAAGAGTTTATATAAATAAAACGATCTAATAAGTAAATGGCAAATCTAGGTTTCAAAACCTACTATGTCAGATCCCAAACTCCACCTCCTTACCCACAACATTAGATGCCTGTGCAAACTGCATGTATTGAACCATCACTTCTTTTCTGGAAAACCCTACACTTTAACATATTGATGTTCCTTTATTGTCTCACTGATTACAAATTCTTTATTTCTTCATTAATTTGTCTTCCACTTCCACATTTGTAGATGCCTTGACCAAATAACAAAGTATTTGCAATAAGCAAAATGAAATTATCAATTGGCAATTATTTCTCAGAGCCTAAAATGAGATCAACATGATTAATAATTCTAATAATTATAAAATAACCACATTTAATATATATTCCAGATGGTTCGCATAGATTGCTCGTATTAATTCTCACCATACATTTATGAGACGCATGGGAGACAAGACCTGTGAAACTTATGGCCCCTGCACCGCAGAGTGAGTGAATTACAGACATTTTGGTGGCTCCTCTGTGGAAAACACTGAGCTTCTGGCTCTTGTGGATGAAAAGGAACAAGTACTTATGCTACCAACTTACACGAATATGGGAAATGATTGGAAAAATGTAAAACGATATACACTAACGGGTAAAATGTGAAGGATGAAGCAGAGCATCACCATTGTCGTCAGCACAGAGACCAGGGAGGCCAGAATCTCAGCGCTTCACCTGGACCACAGTGAAAGTGCGCGCAGCTGCCGCTCAACAGCGCGCGCAAAGCTCCCTTCGCTGCCCCCAACGGCCGGCAGGGGGCGCCGAACTCGCCGTAACCGACCAGCCGGCGCCGCCCGCACAGCGGGACACGCCTGGGGCTCCGGTGCCGCGGACTCGGGCGCCGCGTCCACGGGGAGACCCGGCGCTTCGCCGTCCGCTGAGCCCTGGCCCGGGAGGGGCGCCGCCGGGCTCAGGGA